ACAAATCTGTGCAAAAGCCCTCTTGCCCCACCACTGCCATCTGTTCCTTGAACAGGAGCAGTGAGTCTAAGAGGAACCCCAAATTCTGCACAAGCTTGGTCTGAATCAAGAACTAAGAATGAATCAAGAACTCCAGATCTATGGGGCCTTAAAACCAAAGCCATTTGGTCTTACTAGGGCAGGGGTAGGCAACCCAAAATACTCAAAGAGCCACTTGGACACTGGGAGCTGCAAAACCCTTTTGATATCTAAAATGAAGATAACACTGCATATATCCTTTTTTACCTTTAATGTTTGTGTGTGTGTGTATGTGTGTGTGTAAAATAAAGGTAAAAAAAAAGGATATATGCAGTGTTATCTTCATTTTAGATGTCAAAAGGGTCTCTCTCTGTCACTTTCCTCTCTCTCTCTTTCCTCTCTTTCTTTCCTCTTTCCTCTCTTTCTCTTCTTTCTCTCTTTTCTCAATCTTTTTTCTCTTTCCTCTTTTTTTCTCTTTCCTCTCCCCCTCTCTTTCTTCTTTCTCTCTCTTTCCTCTCCCTTTCTCTCTCCCTCTTTCTTCTTTCTCTCTTTCCTTTCTCTCTTTCCTCTCTTTCTCTTTCCCCTTCCTCTCTCTCTCTTTCTCTTTTCTCTTTCTCTTTCCTCTTTCTCTTTCCTCTCTTTCCTCTAACTTTCTCTCTTTCCTCTCTTTCTCTTTCCTCTCTTTTTTCCTCTCTCTTTCTCTTTCTTCTTTCTCTTTCCTTTCTCTTATTTTTCTTCTAACTTTCCTCTCTTTCCTCTCTCTTTCTCTTTTCTCAATCTTTTTTCTCTTTCCTTTTTTTTTCTTTCCTCTCCCCATCTCTCTTTCTTTCTCTCTTTCCTCTCCCTCTTTCCTCTTTTTCTCTTTCTTCTCCCTCTCTCTCTTTCTCTTTCCTCTCTTCTCTTTCTCTTTCTCTTTCCTCTCTCTCTCTTTCTCTCTTTCTCTTTCTCTCTCTCTCCTCTCTTTCTCTTTCCTCTTTCTTTCTTTCTTTCTTTCCTCTAACTTTCTCTCTCTTTCTCTTCTCTTTCTCCTTCCTCTCTCTCTCTCTCTCTCCCTCTCCTCCAGATAAAGAGAGAGAGGGAGCAAAAAGCAGACAGCACCAACGGACGGGGAGGAGGAGCAGGACAGGCGGCAGCAGCTCCCAGCCACCCCCCCACCGCATCCTCAGCTGAGCAGGCGGGGAGGGGGAGCAGGACGGGAGGCAGCAGCTCTCAGCCGCCCCCCTGCCGCATCCTCAGCCAAACGGGCGGGAAGGGGGAGCAGGATGAGAGGCAGCAGCTCCCAGCCGCCACCCCTGCTGCGTCCTCAGCTGAATGGGCAGGGAGGGGGAGGACGGGAGGCAGCAGGTTTGGTGGCGGCGGCAGCAGCTCCAGCAGCGGCCACTGCAGCATGGTAGGGGTCCCCGCCGCCTCCGGCCTGGCCCCTGCCGCTTCCCCAGCCACTTCGCTGTTGCAAGAGGAGGGTGCCAAGGCTGGGTCCATTATGGGTGGCCACGCCGGCAACAGGGAGTGTCGCCGCGGGGACGAGGGTGGGTCCCGATCGCTGGCCCCGCCGGCCTCACAGCCCAAGGTCTCCTCCTGCAGCACTGAGGGCGGCGGTGGCAGCAGCTCCCCGAAAGCGGCCGAGGAAGGAGTCACCAATGGGGCCGAGGTGGGGCCGGGCGGTGGAGAGCCCTGCGGCAGCCAGGCAAGCTTCCTGCCTGACTGCCGGCCGGCCCACCCTGGGGTGACATGTGGCCGGCTCGGCTTCCCGGGGAGCGATGCCCACACCGGCTGCTGCCCCAGCAATGACTGCCGCCTGGCCCGGCCTGGGGAAACATGTGGCCAGCTCGGCTTCCTGGGGAGCGATGCCCTCGCTGGCCGCCGCACCAACCATGACTGCCGCCCGGCTCAGGGCAACATGTGGCTGCTCGGCTGCCCAGGGAGCGGCCTGGGTATGGTCCAGGAAGCGATGCCCCAGCTGAGACTGCTGCCTGGAACAAGTAAGCCGGGGGGCGTCACCTGTCCTGCGGCCACTTCGCAGCAGTGCTCCATGGACTCCCCTCCCTCCCCCCGCCACTGACCCTCTGTCTCCGGCTCTGCTGCTGCTTGGCCAACGGTCGCAGTGGCTGGGCATCGGAGGGGCTGCTCTCCCTGGGGCCGCGGTTTGTTGAAGGGCTGGCTCGCTCAGCGGAGGCTCGGCAGGCCGCTCCCAGAGGGGATCTTGGAGCTTCCCTGCACGGCTCCCCAGCCACATGCGCCTCAGATGGGGCCAGCCTGGGAAAGGGACTTCCTGGCCGCCCTTCTCCCAGGGGATGGGGCACCCAGGCGCAGGGCCAATCAGGAGCTCTGCGTGGGGGTAAGTCCACATGAGAGAGAGAAAGAGAGAGAGAGAGAAAGTGCCTCTCTCTCCTTGTCTCTCTCTGAAATGGCAGGGGAAGGCTCCGGAGCTGCAGGGGATGGCTCAAAGAGCCGCATGCGGCTCCGGAGCCACGGGTTGCCGACCCGTGTACTAGGGTTAGGTCCTCCTCTAGGCACCAAAAGAATATCAACAGCATCATTTGGTTGGCCACGGGTGTAACTGATTACCTCCAGCACACTGACTTAAGCTTGTCCTAGCAGATGATCTCTCCCAGTGATTTTAGCTCCAGGGAATAAAGAATGAAAATGGAGAAGGTGGGGGGGTGTTCCTTCTTCTCTACATTGTGCAAGGATGTGTTCGTTTCACTGGTCTTTCAATATCGAAAAAATGATTTTCTTGCTATTGATCGGTTTGCAGACTGGAGAAACTGACTGTATAATCCTGATTGTGTTTTTAGTTAATCAAGTGAAGCTTGTCAGGGTTATGCTCAGACAGTTTATAGTCTGACTGTTTTGGGGGGGTCTTCTGGAATGTTTTTGACCCAGATATGAAAAACTTCATGCAGAATAATCGTGTCCATGTTTACTCTAACGTAAATGTCAGTTTTCCATATGACTTATTCCAAGGCAGATATGCATGGAATTACAACAGTGCTATTTAAGCCTGAAAAGGAAGACTGAAACAGAAATCAAACACAGTTGCAACTTTTGGAGTGAGGGGGTGGGGGGGACAACACTTCAGTCCCATTGTTGAAAGGAAGGAATTATTCCAGAGCTTCTGCTGTCAAGAAATGTGATTGGGCAATTAAGAGACAGGACTTCTCCACACTCCTGGGTCCGTTTTCAAGCAGCAAAGCTGTTCTGCGGGTAGCTGTGATTATCAGTTGTGGAAAAGGTGCAGGACCTCTTGCCTTGGGACAGGGACCTTTGGACTCCAGTCGATGAACCACCCATCAGCCAGTCTGTGTGTGTGTGTGTGTGTGTGGGAATGGACAATCTGGCACACACACACAGCCAGAAAATCTATACCACCCTAAAATGTATTCATTGTGTCACAATTTGTGCTGTCTATTATTATTTTTCTTAAAACAAAGTATGAGAGCAGAGATCTACAAGCATACAGGTAGACGTGCACACTCTTCTTCTGCAGATTGTACATATTTTCTTAATATCCTTCTCTTACTCCTGCAAAGTTTTATACATCTGTGTATATTTATTATGGCTTTGCTAGTCACAAGGAAGGCCTGGATTTCTTCAGGTTGTTCCAGTTTGCTTCCTGTCCTTTTGAAATCTTGGGTGTGGTCAGCACTGGCCTTTCAACCAGAGGTTCACATCCCTTTGGAGCAGAACTTTCAGAAGAGGCAGGACGACAAGGAGCATTTGGTCCATTCCACTAGAAAGTACCAACAAGTTCACCACTGGCTGGAGATACACTTGTGTGAAGTAACAGTGTTGTGCCTGTATCAACACTGTTCAGCACAGTGACTGATAGAGTGCTACAGCATCCCGACCAGAAATTGACTAGCTTCCCCAAAGGAGAAAGAGAGAGGGCCATACCACGGGAAAACACCACTGGTGTAAAGGCGCTACAAGCTACCCCTTCCCATATCTAATGTATAAACCAGTGAAGTGAGAGGGCCTTAAAGAAAGGGAAGAGGAAGGAGGTGCACCCTGAAGGCACCAGGGCTGTCTTTTGATGCATGCCTCTGCCTCCTCCTCCCCCTCCCCCCTCCTCCTCCTTCATAGCTAGGGATCAGGGCTAGTTGACTGAAGGCCAGCTATCTCTCCTGGAGCCTTTAAGCAGAACTTCCCATGACGGGCAAATCATTTCATGACATGAAGCCACTTGGTGTAATGACCGATTTTTATTCAGGGACTGGACAGAATTGAATTTACTTCCTAAGATGAGCACTTTTCTCAGCTAAAGTTCTTTCTCAGAAATGGTTGAATGGTTAAAACAGACCATCCTCCAGCTCTCAGCAATATACTTTATGGGCATAGAGAGGGACTCCTCCCTCTGCTCTATTCAGAACTTCAGAAGTTGTGGGTGCTCTACCCCTGGAGGTTTTCAAGAAGAGACTGGACAGCCACTTACCTGAAATGATATAAGATCTCCTGCTTGTGCATGGGGTTGGTATAGAAGACCTCCAGGGTCCCTTTCAACTCTGTTATTCTGTTATTTCTAATGATATTATTTCTAATGATAATAGAGCTGGTCTGGACCAAGAGGATTACATGCATCCAACTGGAAGGGAGTGAGCATGTCTTTGGGATAGATCATAAAGGAATCATTATGTGAAGTGGCATCACAGCATGAAATCAACTGTATTTGGCATATAATAGACAAATCAGCTTACAGGGATGTGTTTGTATAAATGGAACTGTTTCTGCTTGTGGGTATTTTTATCCCATTCTCTCTATTTCTAGACAGTGGAAGCTCTGCCAATAACCGGGCTGGGAATTCTGCTTGGGGAACAGGACAGGTAGGTTTTATTACAAACAAACGATCCAAAACCCTATTTTTTAAAGCATAACAATGTGGAAGTATCTTCCCAAATTCAAACTTTGTGACCCAAACCTTTCTCTCTCTGAAATTGGCTGTGCCAGAAAAGCTCTCTGCTTCATTGAGGCATCTTGTTCTTTAGGAACCGGCTGAAGCTCTTCCGGAAGGGCCAGAATGTGAGCCCAGCCGACATGTACCGGTGGAAGCTCTCCTCCCATGAACCTTGCAGTTCCACTTGCACCACAGGTGAGCAGCCCCTGAAGGGCTTGCATGGGGAGCCCTTGGCCAATCTGCTTGGGAAGGGAAGCAGGTCAGGCTAGCCTTTCCCCATGAAGGGGGGGGCTGATTTCATCCTTCGCCTTTAGTTGCGCAGGCTTTCAAGGAGAGCAGGTGCACCATGGCAGATTCCAAGCATGGAAGCAGCCACTTCTGCGTAGAGCTTGCGACAGGACAAAGGCAGGCAAAAGTTCTTGTGGCCCTATTGCCCAAGGCGGTACACATACACAATTGCATTTTTCTATTAAAAGCCAAAGCATCCATTGTATCTATAACATTATATAGGCCAGTGGCCCAGAACATGTCTATATACTGGAAATGGATCCAACACAGCCACTTGATCTGAAATAATTCACTGTATAAGGAACAGTACTTGGGTCATGCTTAGAGGCAATATTTTCTCAAGTTGTAGCAGCTTGAGTGAGTTTTTATCAATTATCTTAAGAGATGTTAGATTTAAGAAATCATTGTCAATTTCAAAAAAGGCAGGCACAACCACACACCTCTGTATGGTAATGATTCACCTGTGAAGGTGGTTAGCAGCTTCAAGTTTCTGTTGTGCAGCTAGCATGGTCACTCAACAGGGAGATACTGATGAAGTGTGCACAGCAGTAACTGCATTTTCTGCATGAGAAAAGCACATCTTCCTTCCCCTGTCCTGACCACTTTCCATAGAGGGACGATCGAGAGCATCCTATCATATTGCATTACTGTCTGGGTTGGAAGCATCACTGCTTCAGACAGGAAGGCGGTGCAGAGAGTGGTGAGTGTCTGAAGTAAAGTCTTCATCCTGATTCATCCAAGCCGGGAATAAATAAGCAACATGGCGGCTGCTTTGGAAAGAAGATTGCAGTTTATTGAAGAGGCAGAAGGATGGTTCTTACAAGAAAGAGCAGAGGAAAGAAGAAAGGCTGAGCACATGGGTAGTAGGTTTTTATACCGCCTCTAGCCTTTTGTTTGGAATAGTTTCCTGTTCCTGTGGCATGAACTTTGAGGCTATTTCTGAGTGTTTTTCTAGGCCTTGATATCTGTGGTTTAATCCTAGTATCATATCCTGCTTCCCTGGTGATGGGGCTAATGACTCCTAGAGTTTGGGTGGGGTATGCAGATTTTCTCTTTGTCTTCTTGAGTTCTTTGGCTCCAACTTTCTGATGGTTTTACATCTGCATTTGTATAGGGCTGTCTCCTGCTTGGGGCAAAGAGATTTGAGGCCAGGATTGGTTTCTGGTTTTAAAAATCCTTTTGAGGAAAAATATATTTTTCTGCCCTTTTAATATTTCCTTCTCTGGGCTAACTTCCCTCATGACGATGGCAGAAAAGATGATTGACAATTCCCTCCCTTCTATCCAGGACATGGCATTATATGGTGATGCTTGAGCAGGGTCTGCAGGATTGTCTGGGATGCTACACATCCTCTTCACGACCTGTTTTCCTGGTTACCTTATCCTGCCTTATCTTATCTTACCTTACCTTACCTTACCTTACCTTATCTTACGTTGTTTTCAGACAGAACTGAGGTCTGTGAATAATTCTACAGATCAGAAATGGTGAATAAATTTGGTTAGAGTACAAACCCAGCCTCAGAATTGTTTTCAATGAAGAATTTCTGTTTCCTGTTCTTAAGAACCTCAAGAACAGCCCACCTGAGCCGGCTAAGACCCAGACTGTTGTCTGGGAACTACCAGATGCCTCAGGAGCAGGAAACAAGCCCCCCTCTTTCTGACTTTCCTTGCAACCACGATTTAAAGACAAACAGCCTTTAACTCAGAAGTCCCATGGAGTCTTTCAGACAAACAGCTTGTGGAAGATGTCCCTTTCTTTAATTCTACCAGCCCCCTTTTAAACCTCCAAGTTAGTGGCCATCATCATAGAATGTGGGTTAGTTAATGCTGGTCTTCTGTTCTATGCCATCCGCAGGCCCAGAGAGGACACAGCTTCTATCTATCTGCATTCGCCATGTCATGCCATAGAAGATTTAAACAACTCAGCTTTTGCCCAGGCTGGAGTCTCAAATACCCTCCCTCCCTCTTCCTCTCTTCCCTATGCTGGAGCTGTCAAGGTTCTGACTAATGAAACACTTCAAAGAACTTCCAGGCATTGTTTATCCTAAAAAGTCTTTAATTGTATAACAGAATGTCGACACAGCATGGAGGAATGCCAAGATCTGAATTTCCCTCCCCTGAGCACATATTTTGCTAGCATATTTCCTTCCCTTAATTTGCTGTTCTAAATCACATTCTCCAATCAGTTTGAAGGGCAAAGGTTCCCTTCCATTTCTGTAGCAGGGCTTCTTATCTAAAGTAATCCCCACAGACATTCTTTCTCCTCCCAGCATCATTTAAATTAACTCTAAAAATACCACACAGCTCTGCATTTTTTGTCAAAGCAAGAACATCCAATGTTTGGCAGTGTTGACAGGAGCAATGTGGACCAAAGCAGGCTGTTTGCTTCTAAGGGGCTTTGATCCTTGGCAGGTTTAATGGATGAGGGAATGGCATCCTCCTCTACCTTTACCTGTGCAGTAGCCTAGCTTAGTGGTTAAGATGCTGGGCTTGTCAGCTGGAAAGCCACAGCCTGGGTTTGAGACCTGAGTGTTGCATAATGGGGTGGATTCATGCGATCCATATAGTGACAGAAATGTCTCTTGGGTAGCAAGAATCAGAGACGAGTACCGTCCCTCTGAGTCAGTCACCACTCCCAGTGGGATAACATAGACAGGCCTCGGAAGACTTGAGAGGGAATGTTGCGAGGGAACACTTTGGCAGGACAAGACTCTGGCAAAGAAGGCTCGCCCCCCCCCCCGGAACCCCAGATAGCATGAATTCTCTTGGCAGATGGGACCCACAGCAAGCCTTCTCTACCAAGCCTGATGTAATTAGGGAGAGGCAGTCCCTCAGAAAACCTGGTCCCAATGCCACGAAGGGCTTTAAAAGTCAAAATCAACACTATAAATTAGACCTGGAAGCAAACTGGCCTAGTGGTGAAGATGCTGGCCTAGTAACTAGGAGTTACTAGGCCTAGGTTCTCCTTAGGACTCATAGAGTATAATCTGGGCTTCAGGAGTTTTGCCCCAGGCTTGAATTCTATGGCACAATCCATGGGTCAGTGAGGGGGGGAGCTCATCTGACTCTCCTCACTGAAAACTTCAGCAAGGTCTCGGTATTCCTCTGGTATTTTGGGTAGCCCCTTTTCTTCTCCCATGGATGCCTTTTCTGTTCTCAATTTTGGTAGGATTCCTTTGGGATTTAAGTCCGTAGGGTCCCCCTTTGGGAAATTGATTTCTGGCATTCTCCAATTTACCCAGGGGTTCCATTTATTTAACCATTCCAACCCTAGGATCACTAGGTATTCACTACAAATGTTATGTCTTTCTCATGGTTCCCCAGGGATAGGTGGACTGGTAAAGTGGCTAGGGTAGCTGGCACCCCCCCTGCGATGGACCCATTTAACTGGCCAGATGAGATTGGTTGTTTCAGCTCCTTACTGGAATGCCCAAGTTCCCCACTAGCATCAGGCTAATGAGGCATGAGTGCAGCCAGAGTCTATTAAGGCTTTCACTTTGACAGCTTCCGAGAGATTCCACCACTGCCTTAATTAGAGGGGCTGAGTGTATTCATGCCAGGTGATAAAAGGAGACAGAAGGTGCCTTGACTTTTATTGATGCTGCAGTTCAGAGAGTGCAGCGATGGATAACATCTGTGCAGGCAAACAGTCGTGGCAGTAAAGGACTGATTGTATTGGTCTTTCTGAATGCAGGAGTGATGTCCACATATGCCATGTGCATCCGCTACGATGGCACGGAGGTGGAGGAGCCTTTCTGTGATGCAGCCACGCGGCCAGAGCCCATCCATGAGTTCTGTGCGGGAAGAGAATGCCAGCCCAGGTTTGTCTTCTCTGCTGCTTGGAGAACCAAAGCCCAGAGGCAGCTGGGTAGCTTATATTCCCAGGAGCACTCTTTCTGCACTTGGAATATTGCCATAGTGCCCATCCCATTCGGTGAACGGAAAGGGGACTGCTGGAATGCCGGCTTCCTGCCTGCCACCCTAGTGAGAATCTAGAGATGGGCCACTGGCAGGAACAGTGAATCAGGGCAGAAGCTCTTTATAGGGACCTCTTGGCAATAGAGGCAGGACTCACGGAGGAGGACACAACCTAGTTGGTGGCTAAGACTGACTTTCCTGCGTGAAGGCAAGAGGCTCTCCCTCTGCAGTCTCAGTGGAGGCTCCGGTGCTGGACAGCCACAGCGCCACCATGAAAAGGAGGGGGGAGGGAGGGAGAGTTATTATAGTCCATGAGTGCAAAGCAAAGGTAATTAGAAAAATAAAATGCCATCCCAACTCCCAAATTATATCCTTTTGTTAGTAATACATTTTACTAATACATTATACACAATTTTATGTAATCCATCTCATGGATGAATGCAACAAATTAAAAAAATAATTAAATTAAATTAAATTAATTAATTTAATTAAATTAAATTAATTAAATGTAAAAATGCCAAGGTTTAAAATTTGCTCCTAGGCTTCAAAGCAGACTTTGGCAAATTACTTTACTGTTAAAATGGGCAAGAGAACTGACATATAGACTTTACTGAAAGGATAATGTATAATAAAGTTAGTAACCTAGCCCAGATGAGCCGCAATTCAACTGTTTGCAAAGGCTAGGAATGAAAATTCTTTGCAAAGAGAATAACTGCCATTCCAATAAAGTTGGAGGCAAAGCATTGAAAGGAGCTAGGGCAGACATGTCAAACAAAAGGCCGGCGGGCTGGATCCAGCCTGGGGAGGGCCCAGATTTGCCCCCCGGGGCTGTCCCAGAAATGGCAAGGGACTGGCCCCCGCTGCCCCAGCCCCAGCCCTGGCCCACCCCAACCCAACTGGGCGCCCTGGCCCATGCACAGAAAACAGTGAGCACTCAGTGGCTGGTGGTGTGCAGCAGCAGCTGCAGCTCATTTGCCTCAGCCTGCCCTGCCCTTCCCAGCTTAACCCCGTCACGCCCAGCTATGCCCCACTTTGCCGGGCTTCTTGTGTGGCTCTGCTTTGCCACACTGTGCCACGCCTTTCCTCACTTGGGCCATGGCGTTCTGTAAGCCTAGCACCCCAGGGCATGCCCAGCCTGTGGGATGAAAGGCGCGGAGATGTGAGTGTGCGGTGGCACAAGCCGAGCATCGGCCAGCTCCCAGTTGCCCTCTCCGCCACGTGGTAGGGCCAGAGAGGGGAACGCAACAGTCATGCAGAGCCGCAGCCTCGAACTGCCTGCAGCTAGCAACGTGAAACTCTGTGGTGGCTGGAGAGAAAGGGTGAGAAGAAGGAGAAAGCAGGAAGGGGGTATGTGTGTATGTATGTATGTATGTGTATGAGAGACAGACAGACAGATAGACAGGGAGCCAGGAGGGGAAGAGGAGGAGGAAACTGAGGTGTTACAAAAAGGAAGAGCTTCCCCCGTTATTCCACCCCTTTTCTCTTTTTTTAAACCTCCTCCCGCTCCATTCAGGTGCAGTTGGAGGAAAAGGACAAGAAAGCAGGAAGGGTTTCTGTGTGTGTGTGTTTCTGTTTAAACCTTTAATAAAGAGTTGTTTGTTCACCTGCTGCCTCGTCGATGCCTCAGAGAACACCAAACATAACAGTGGTGACGAAGGTGGGATGTGCTGCCAAACTTGAAGAGCTGAATCACTAAGGGGGAAGCCAAGTGACGATGCCTTGGTTGGGACCACGTTCCCCCCCATTCCTGCCAGTACGAAAACGCTGGAGGAAGAGCGCTCCCAAGGAATCGTCCCTGGGAGATTAGAAGAAGCTTTGGCAGCACAAGGCATCGCGAGGCCGAAAACAATGAAAGCAACTCACCACGGCCAAACTCGGAAAACTCTCAGAATTCGACATCGCACATCCAGAGAGGTGGAGCTCATACATTGCGAGAGTTGAGAATTACTTTAGAGTCAACCAGGTTCGTGAGGACAGCTTGAAGGCCACAGCACTGCTGTGCATTTGTGGCCAGGCGATGTTCGAGATCATCAAAAATGTAATAGCTCCGGCGCTGCTTGAATCTGTTACTTATTCCAAACTTAAGAGAATGCTTAAAGAACACTTTGAGCCGAAGCTAGCAGTCATTGCCTGGAGGCACACCTTCAAAAGAAGAGACCAACGACCGGGTGAATCAGCTGCTGAATTCATTGCTGCCCTTCGTCAAGCGGCCCAACCCTGCGAGTTCCAAGATCTTGAAGAGAGGCTGCGAGACCGCTTAGTGTGCAGGTTAAGAAGCAGGGATCTCCAACAGAAATTGTTCACCAAAGAGACTATTTCATTTCAAGATGTCCTAAGAGAAATCACAGCCAAAGAAGCCTCCGGGGGAGCTGTCAAGGCCTTACGGATCTCCAGGAACGTTCCCTGCGCAGAGGCGGTCCACCAGAAGGGCGCTGAGAGGGTTGAAGACTCTGAATTGGATCGAGAGATCGATCAGTTATAGTGGCCACCAGAAAGGCCACAACGCCCAGTTGACTAGGCAGTTCCCTTCTCTCGATGTGCGGGGTGTGGAGGCCAACACAAGTACACGGACTGCAGTTTCTGTACAGCAACGTGTCAGGTGTGTGGCAAGCAAGGCTACATCGCCGCAGTCTGTCAGGTCGTCAGAGAGAGAGTCCACCAGAAGAGTTTCCCCAGAAAGATACCGGGGCCCCAGGGCAACACAGGGTGGGCTATTGCACCACTAGGAGGAGCGTACTTAGAACAGGTGCCCATCACCCTCTTAAGGAAAAACTGTGGCTCAAAGTCAAGCTGCAAGGAGTTCCATGCAACATGGAACTAGATACGGGGTCCGCATTATCCATAATTTTCCAGGGGACTTTCAAACACATTTGCAGTTGCAGCAGCAAAAGAGTTCAAAGCTCAAGCCTTTGAACCTCGTATTAACCGATTTCCAAAACTCCTGAGTAACAGTCAAGGGGGAAGCTACACTCAGGGTGCACTTCAAGGGATTTGAGGCCCCCCTGGAAGTCGTAGTAGTTGAGGGCAACCGCACAAGCCTCAGGGGCTTGATTGGTTTGATGCATTGGGAATCAATGTAACTGGAATAAACAGCACACAAGCAGTGGACTTAGTGGCAGTTTGCCAAGAGTTTACTGATGTTTTTAGCCCTCACTTAAGGAAATATAAGGGTCCTCCCATAGCTGTTCGGCTTGATCCTGCCATAACTCCAATATGGATCAAGCCACATAGAATGCCCTTCACCCTAAAGCAGAAGATCGATGCAGAGCTGGACAAGCTGGTGCAGCAAGGCATCTTGCAGCCAGTTGATAGCAGTCAATGGGAAACCCCCATAGTTACGCCACTTAAGGCCAATGGAGCGGTGCAAATATGTGCAAATTACAAGTGCACTATCAATAGAGCACTCCAACAACACACATATCTGGTGCCTGTAGTCAGCCACATTTTGGCATCACTATAGGGAGGTCACATCTTTGCCAAGTTAGATTTGGCTCAAGCCTATCAGCAATTGCCAGTGGATGATGCCATGGCAGAAGCTCAAACCATAGTTACAGACGAGCTTTCAAGGTTAAGCACCTATAATTGGGGGTCAGTGTTGTCCCAGGCCTCTTCCAGGGAGTGATAGAGCGCACACTTAAGGGTATTCCAGGCATATGCCCATATTTCAATGATGTCCTCATAGCTGGGGAATCAGTCAAAAAATTGACAGAACGGCTCAAGGCCGTCCATCAGCGCTTCCGCGAAGTGGGGCTGAAGCTGAAGCAGGAGAAATGTAAGATTGGGGTAGCTTCAACTGAGTTCCTCGGGTTCCCAAGGCATTCATCCTGCTGAATCCAAGCTCAAAGCAATTCAGCAGGCCCCAGTCCAAAATCAAAGGGGGAGCTCCAAGCGTTTCTTGGACTGCTCAATTTTTATCATGCCTTCCTACCTCACAAGGTCGCAGTGGCAGAGCCGTTACACCGGCTCTTGGACAAACATGCACAGTGGAAGTGGACCAGCATCCACGATAGGAGCTTCTCAGCAGTCAAATCACTGCTGTCTTCAAATTCAGTTTTGATGCATTTTAACAAAAAGCTGCCTATCTGCATTGCTTGTGATGCATCTCCATATGGGGTTGGGGCTGTGTTGAGTCATTTAATGGCTGACGGAAGGCAAATTCCAATAGCCTAGTACTCGAGGACCTTGTCCTCTGCAGAACGTAATTATGCTAAAATAGATAAAGATCCCTTTTTGGCAGGGATCAAAAAGTTTCATGACTATGTATACAGTAGGCCCTTCATGGTCTTCACAGACCATAAGCCACTCCCGAGGTTGTTCACAACGAACAAGCAAACACCCCAGATCACATCCCCTAGGATGTTGAGATGGTCAATTTTCCTGTCAGCGTATGATTATAGTTTGATTCATAAACCAGGTAGAGAAATGGGCCACGCAGACGGCCTTAGCAGACTGCCCCTGCCGCAGTTAGAGCCCAACCCTGCTCCAGCCATGCGCATCCTAGCTGTTCGGGACCTGCCTGTGTCTCCCCTTAACGCAGGGGACGTGGCTGCAGAGACAGCTTCAGACACGACGCTGAGCTATATGCTGAACTGGGTACTCACAGGATGGCCGGAAAATAGTCCTGGTCCTAATTTTCAGAGTTTCAGCAGGAGGAAGGACAAGTTGTCAGCCCACAGGGGCACATCTTGTGGGGTAGTCAGGTGGTAGTCCCGAACTCACTGACTAGAATCTTGGAGTCTCTGCATGAGGGACATCTGGGAATAGTCTGGATGAAGGCACTCGCGCGAAACTACCTTTGATGGCCTGGGCTGGACAAAGATACTGAGGCTCGGGTACACAGCTGCCATATTTGCCAGCAATCTAGGCCAGAGATGCCCCATGCCCCTGTCCACCAATGGGAAACCACACACGCCCCCTGGTTCAGGATCCACATCAATTATGCAGGGCCTTTCTAGGGACACCTCTTCCTCATTGTGGTGGACAGTCACTCCAAGTGGTTAGAGGTCGCACCTCTCCCCACCATGACTGCTGCCAGGACCATACAAGAACTGTGCAGGATTTTTGCCACACATGGATTACCCGGTGTGATAGTTTCTGACAATGGGGCCAAGTTTACTGCTTCAGAATTTCAATCCTTTTTAAAGGCAAATATGATCAGACAAGCCACATCAGCCCCTTTTCACCCGGCTTCAAACGGCCAAGTGAAGCGCATGGTTCGAACAATGAAGGAATCCTTAAAGCAGATAGTCTCAGGTAACTGGCAACACAGACTGGCAGATTTTCTACTCTGCCAACGTACAACCCCATGCACTTCTATGGGCAGAAGCCCAGAAGAATTAAGATTGGGCCGGCGTTTGATCACAAAGCTGGATCGCCTACATCCAGATAGAGTTGCCTCACAAGCAACACAGCCAAAGGCACCACGGTACTTGCAAGTTGGCAACCTGGTCTGGGCAAGGGGCACTGTGGGTGGTAGCTGTGGTTTGCAAGGTGACTGGACCACTTTCTTACGGTGGTCCTGGAAGATGGTCGTGTGCACATTGACCAACTGCGGCAAAGGTTAGCAAACCAGCCAATAACTCATGACTCTAGTGACAGTCAAACTCAGGAGCAGCACGATGGCAGTAGTGCATCAGACTAGTGACGGTGGAGCTCTCCGACTAAGGGACGAGACTCAAGCGTCTGGTGAGTCAGTCCCAACCACTGATACCACAACCAATGGACAATGCCAGCTGACTGCTCCATTTTCAGGATTGGTGAACTCTGTTCCACCTGTGGACACTGGCTTGGGCCTACCAGGACAGCCCAGCCACAGAGACTTGAGTCTACCTGTGATAGATGGGTCCCATACCCTGGTCTTCCAAGCCTGGCAGGTGAGCTGACAGACCAGGCGACTCCAACAGTTTCGAGGCGTTCAGAATGGGCAAAAAGGCCACCAACGTATTTAAGAGACCATGTTCAACATATGACCTTATGAACTATCTAGGGGAAAGTATTGAGGTGAATTACTTGGAATTGTTGAAAAAACGGTCATAAGACTCTCTCAGTTAAGAGCCAGACTTGCTGTCTACATGCTAATTATCTTGTGTTAAAGCAGGAACTAATACTTGAATCCTATTGGCTGCCATCTAGTGGTTGAGTGTATAAATAGGGGTGAAGCTGCAGTTATTCAGGCTTCTGTTTAAACCAGTGGTTCTCAACCTGTGGGTCGGGACCCCATTTGGGGTCGAATGACCATTTCACGGGGATCGCCAAACAACGCAGTCAGCCATTTTTTCCCCCCTTTCCTTAGCTGTGCTACTCCCTTTTATTCTATTGGCTTTTGAAAGCCAATAGAATAGACTCTCTTGAATAGAGTCTAATTCTATTGGCTTTCAAAAGCCAATAAGAATTGTCCAGGCTGTCTCTGCCCTGCTGAGCCCGCCAAAAGTCCCATTCTGCAAACGGTGCTGCACCAGTTGAGTAGTCCTCAACTTACGACTGGTTGGGGGTCGCGGCATTAAAAAGGTTGAGAACCACTGGTTTAAACCTTTAATAAAGAGATGTTTGTTTACTTGTTGCCTCGTTGATGCCTCACAGAACACCAGACATAACAGTAACTATTAACCATCTTTATAACAGTAATCTATCTTTCACGCAGAAAGTCCAAAGTGGTTTCCAAGTAACCATAAAACTATTTACATTCTTGGTCCCTCATTAGTGCAGTCAACTTCGCCATCTCCACCAGTTCCATCATCTTTTCAATCCATTCCTCCATTATGGGGATTAAGGCTTCTTTCCATTTCTGCACATATAGAATTCTTGCAGCTGCCAATATGTATAGCAACAAAGTTCCTTTTTTATCTAATAGTATTGGAATAAAAGTTTCCATTGTAAATCTATTTTTAAAATCTTCTGAATTAAAACATGAATCTGTTTCCAATATTTCTTTGCCTTATCACATATCCACTACACTTCCATTTCCAAGGAACATTTGAAACAACCTTATGCTTCTTTGGTAACTTATCTGGCATTAAATACCAGTCATACATCATTTTATGAAAATTCTATTTAAGGTAATAATTCAGTGTGAATTTCAGTCCTTTAGTTCATATATTTTCCCATTGCTCTAACATCATATTATAACCAAATTTTCTTGCCTATTGAATCATATAATGTTTAACATATTTGCTTTTTAGGTTTAATTATAGAATCTCCATAGATATTTAACTATAATAGCATTTTTTAAACTTTAGCTATAAGATATTCATTTCAATTCATTTTTAGTATCTTCAAAAGCACAATTTGTCTATCCAAAATAAACCTTTCTTTCAATTGTGGACAGGTAAACTAATGACTGTATGACCTTTTACTTCCAAGTCTTCTTTTGTGACTCACTGGAATCTCCTTTCTAAAAAAAGGCTTCTTGGGCAACACCCCCCCCCCCCCAAAAAAACCCTTTGCATTTAGTCCAAACTCTATAAATTTGCACAATCTTACAAAATGATTCTTGAAATCTGCCTGTATTTTAGCTTTCTCATACCATAGGCCAGTGTTTCCCAAACTTGACAATTTTAAGGCATGTGGACTTCAACTCCCAGAATTCAACAGCCAGCAATGCTGGCTGTGGAATTCTGGGAGTTGAAGTCCACATGCCTTAAAATTGTCAAGTTTGGGAAACACTGCCATAGACTACGGTATAGTGCTATCCAAATCCAGTAACCTCTTAGTCTTCGGGGTCACCCATTCCAGAGGAGCCAGGCTCCTTGGAGCAGGTTGCCAGTTTAAAGCAGGAAGCTGTCTTGTCTGGGTCTGCCACTGAAAGAGACCCTGTCCCAAATAAAATACGACATTGGGGACCCAATGAGAGACCACAGAGGTAGCCCTCAGAAACCTCTACTGGGTTGCCTCTGAGAGGATGGAGAGTGAGTCTGGGCATGGAGTCTGGTCAAAAGGCAGCTTTGGCAACTGATACCAAATCTCTACACTTTGCAACAGAAGCAGGCAAATCTGAATACTGCCAACATTCTCTGAAGCTGGAGGTCCTGGATATTTTTTAAAAACACCTTTTGATTGAAATGTCATTTTGAGCCAACCTCACTTAAAGGGGCCAAGGTGCTGCCGTCCCTTTTGGGAGATGAAGAATAGCAAAACCAAACCTGATCACAGTCCTGGTCATCCCTGGAGGGCCTGGCCTAGCTGTCCTCCCCCACTGTTCCTCATCCTGAAACACCACCTTGCTTTGGACAGGTGGGAGACCAGCAGCTGGAGCGAGTGTTCCAGGACCTGTGGAGAAGGTCATCAGTTCCGCATTGTTCGCTGCTGGAAGATGCTCTCACCAGGCCTGGACAGCTCTGTTTACAGCAACCTGTGCGAATCGGCCGACATCACTCGGCCAGAAGAGCAGAAAGTCTGCAAGAACCCAACCTGCGGGCCACAGTGGGAAATGTCTGAGTGGTCTGAGGTAAATTCTGGCTGAGGGGTCTCTGGGCTTTGATCCCAGCAAGCTCTGTGGATTGCCTAGCTGCAGGGGCAAGCTTTGTGGGAGAGTTGGCAGGAGCAGGGGCCAATGTCTGGGAGCCTTTTCCAGCAGCTGTTCCCACAAGTGGTTCCGAATTCAGGTGGCCAAGCAACCTTTTGCTCAGGTGTGCTGGCCATGGCTCACAGGATGCCTCCTGAGTTGAGTTCCTAAAACAGTGGTGGCGAACCTATGGCACGCGTGCCAGAGGTGGCACTCAGAGCCCTCTCTGGGGGAACACGTGCTGTTGCCCCAGCCTCATCTCCCCCCGTGACTCCTTCCTCACCAGCAGCCCCCCTGGAGGAGTCACCCCTGGAGGCAGTGAGTGACCCTGCGGGCAGGTAGAGCGAGGGACGGGGGGGGCGGAGCAGGGGCGGGGCCAGTTTTTGGGCACTCGGTCTCTAAAAGGTTCGCCATCACTGTCCTAAAAAGTTCTAGATTTACTCCAGGCAGGGCTAACACTAACCAGCAGATCCCTCTGGCTTTTGCCTTCTCTCTTGTCCTTTGTGGAAGGCCCTTCCCCCTCTGAGGAACAGAGGCTATTTACCATGATTCCCAAAAATAAAGCCTAGTCTGATTTTTTGGTGTGCTCCTAATATAAGCCCTACCCCCAAAATAAGCCCAGCATGGGGGCATGTCCAGCACAGGAGGTGGAAAGTTCGTGGGGGCCGATGGTATCCGGCAAGTGCCGCAGCCTGCGTAGCCCAGGTAAGTCCTAGCACAGAGGCAGAGGCAGGGCGGAGGCAGGTGATCCAGATCCGCTGCGCAGCCGCCTGGCTCACAGAAGGCTCATGGGAGGCTCACTCAGCAGCACTGGCAGCAGACAGGGGCAGAGGCATGGGGGGAGGCAAGCTATCCGGACACGCTGTGTGGCTGCCTGGCTCGTGGAAGACTTACACAGTGGCACTGGCAGCAGGCAGAGGCAGAACCACAGAGAGGAGGCAAGTGATCCTGATGCACCACCCACTCCATCCCACTGTCTCTCAACTTGCCCTTGGCTGCCTTTGCTTGCTGCTGATGCTGCCGTGTGAGCCTCTCGCGAGCCAGGTGGCTGCACAGCACGTCCGGATCACTTGCCTTCCCCCCTGCCTCTGCCTCCACGCTCAGACTTACCTGTGCTGTGCCAAGGGGCCGGCAGACTGGGGCTGCTGCTGGACACCATTGACCCCCAAGCGCTCGCCACCTCTTTGCTTAGATTTCATTCCAAATCATTTCCTCAGTTTTATGTTCACTTCCCTTTCTGCTGCTGGAGACTTGTTAAAACCTCTTCACTCACTTCCTAAACATGTCAAATGTCTCTCCCAGGCAATAGCACCCATTCCCACTGGAATTAACTCCTGGCACCCCTGCTATTGCCAATGGCCACCCAGGAGCCAAGAAGCAATAGGCAGATGAAAAACCAGAAAGGATTTATTGAATAAGTATTCAGAGGGTTCCCAGAAAAAGGTCTGATTCCTGTCCTTCAGCTTGCAAAGAACCCCAAAGCGAAAGGCCCCCTTGGAGGTGAACTGGGCCTTCAGGTCGATCCTGGGATTCAGCTTCTGGGGGAGTTGCTTTTTTACGCTTCTTCTTAGGGGCAGAGGTCAAGCCTCTCCGGCCTGCCATATACCTGACTCTCCCTACCCTTCCCCCTCCAGTGCACAGCCAAGTGTGGTGAGAGGAGTATGGTGAGCCGAGACATCCGCTGTTCTGAAGAAGAGAGGCTGTGTGACACCAGAACCAAGCCAGTGACCGATAAGAACTGCACAGGGCCACCCTGTGACCGGCAATGGACAGTCTCTGACTGGGGACCGGTAAATCTTTTGAGTAGAAAAGGAACTTGCTGACCAGGAGACAGGCCTGGGATATTTGCAGGAGCTGCGAGGGGGAGGCTGGTGTGGGTCACAACATGTGGAACGGGCCTGCCTTCTGGATCAGAGCAGGGGCTGGTTAATTAGCATCCGGTTTGCAGCCCCAAAGTGCTTCCTTCCTTTTTCCACAAAACAAAGTCATTTGAATTTTGGCTTTGGGGCCAGGCAGTCTCCATGCATCAAAATAACTCTGAGGGCCTCAAACATCCTGATCTTCTAGCATTTTTTATAGCATCCCTTTTGAAACATTGGCATTTCTTCCCACAGGAAAGCAGATTCCCAGCAGGCCAGGAGTTTGGCAGTGAAGCCAAGAAGCCAACAAATGGGGGAGGGGGGGCAGCTGTCCTGTGATAAAGCAGATGGTCCTGGATTCCTGCCCCGAGGGGTGCACTGGATAGCCTCAAGTGTCCCTTGCAGCACTAGGATTTTATGATTCAGCCCTGCTACTTCAATGTGCTGCATGCAGCTGCCTGGGTAGCACTTATCTTAGCTCAGGAGTCCCCAACACCTGGGCTACAGAGCAATACTGGTCCATGGCCTGTTGGGAACTGTGCTGTGCAAGCGGCAGGAAAGCGGGTGAAGCTTCGTCTGCACATGCACAGGATTTAGGTTCCATGCGAAAACACACACACACACACACACACACATCCCTCCATGGAAGACAGTTTTTCTTCCAAAACCAGTCCCTGGTGTCCGAAAGGTTGGGGTCTGGTGTCCTATGTATCCAAGTTTCTCTGAATAGCTTTTTTCTTTCATCCCATTTATCTTTTTCATTCTGCGCAGGCACGCAGACACAGAGAAAGCTTGGGGAAACTTACAAAACTGTAAAATCACCTTTTCAGTGGCCAAGAGGGCCTTGAGTTGTTTCTCTTGCTTCTCTGCCAGGGCAGGGCCGGTGGTGGCTGCCCAGCTGGCTGCCCTCACAAGACACGTGCCTAAGTATGCCTCTGCCCTTCTCTCTCCCTTACAGTGCAGTGGGGGCTGCGGGCCAGGCCGAATGATCCGGCAGGTCTACTGCAAGAGCAGCGACGGGCGCGTGGTGCCAGAGTCCCAGTGCAACCCTGAAGCCAAGCCGCTCGCCATTCACCCCTGCGGGGAGAAGAGCTGCCCTGCTGGCTGGCTGGCCCAGGACTGGGACCGGGTAAGAGATCCCTGGAGAGGGTTCTTGGGGCTTTCGGCTGCCCAGGCCAGGTCTGGATCCTTCCTTCTTCCGGCAGTGCAACGCCACCTGTGGCCGAGGGGTGAAGAAGCGGACGGTTCTTTGCCTGGAAATTGTCAGTGGGAAGATCAAAACCCGCCCACCTACCGCATGTGACACCACCAAGAAGGAGGCTGAGGAGGCCACCTGCTTTGAGCGCCCCTGCTTCAAGTGGTACACCACCCCTTGGTCTGAGGTGAGAGCCTGGAGGCTTCTGGTTCTGGTAACACTAGCCTCCTCCTCTAGAGGATTGTGAAAATACCTCCGTGGCACACAGGACCCTAATGTGAGATAAGAATGCCATCAGCAACCAGGAGGTGGTGGCCCTTTGGCCGAAAGAGGATCAACCTGTCCTGGGGTGACTCAATTTGTGGGATACAAAGCCAAAGGAAAGGGTGGCTGCGATTGATCTGCTGTGGCCAAACCAGCCAACTGGATTCTGGTTCTCCCCCCCCCGGATCCCCCTCCCCCAGCGAACCATACTTCTTCAGAATGCCTCTACGGGGTTCTGCTGTCCTGTGCAGGGCAGAGCTAAGTGGGGGGCTTTTTAGTAGCCATGGGAATTTAAGAACCAGGAAAGTTTGCAACTGGCCACCCCAATGCCCCTCATGTTTCAAGACTAATGAACCCCTGGACAGTTCCCTGCCCGGAACCTGATGTCCACTCCCACCCTCAAGGATCTCACATCTCCGGGGTTTCCAAGAAAGCACAGCTGGTTTTATGCCTAATGCTCCAGACTGTGAGAGGCTCACCTTGGCCCAGCGGCTGCAGTGGCTCACTTGGTCACTGGCAGGCGCTCCCGCAGCTCTCGCCAGGCTGCCCAGAGGCAGGGAGGCTTCTTGACAGCAGAGATGCCCCCAGCACATCCCTCTCCCCCGGGTCTCCTCTGCCGCAAATGCTCCTGTGAAAGCAGGGCAGGCCTTGCTGTCAGGGCCCACTTCAAAACCTCATCCTAAGAAAGCAAGACTCGTGACAGCAGTTTCTTCCCAAAGGAACTTTTATTAGGAGAAACTGATAGCAGGCATAATAGGCAGGATCTGGGGGTTTCCCGCTCAGACCAATAGGTTAAAAGAGTCCCAAGCAAACCCCACCCCAACAGTTCATCCAGTCAGTTTGAAGGAGCCAATTCTCAGGTGTTAAGTCCGTTGTGAGAAAGGAGGTGATAACACAGGTCTTTCCCAGGCTCGCAGCATTGTTGTTGGGTCTTCGCACCTTCCCTTCCAAAACGGGAGATAAGCCAGATGGCCAGAGGCATATTCCTTTCTCCCCCCCTCCGCAAGGTAACATCAAGGGAGAGACAGTTCAAAGAGTAAATATGCAGAAGCACCGGGAGAGAGACATTGTAGTGAAACAGAGACAGCCCACAGCGTCTTCCCCCTTCCCCTTCAGGAGCATGGCAGAACCCGTAGTAAGAAAATAGGAAGAAATAGAAGAGAGTCCCCCACCTCAGTAATATGGGTTCTGACATTTGCTATAAATAGGTAGCGCAAAGGGGCAGATGGTCCCTGTTGTCACTCACGACTGTCGCCCCTCCTCCTCACTGCAGCAGAGAGGAGGAAGCTGTGGGGTGCTGAGTCAAGAACATTGAGAGCAGCGAGCAAATTTCTTAGATTCCCATAAAATAAATGAAACTCCTGAGAGATGAAATGTGGAGATGCACCTCCCCTCCCCCAGGTGGTTTGGGTGGGGCTAGGGGTGGGATTTTTCTCCTGGGCTCTCTGCATTAGGACACTGCCGATTTGAAACCAGCGCCCATTGACTGCAGCCAAGAACTCAGGAGATGGGATGTTGGCTCAACTGCAGCATATTTTAAACAGCTGCAAAACTACTAGTTTCCTCCTCCTCTTTCCTTGGTCTGCCAGCTTTTCTGAAGGGCTGGAACTCCTTTTGAATAGTTCTGGTTGGCTTAAATGGCTAAAAGAGCTTTTGTTCCCACCTCCCAGTGCACAAAAACCTGTGGAATTGGCCTGAGGATGCGGGACGTCAAGTGTTACCAAGGGGAGGATCTTGTGCGTGGGTGTGACCCACTCCTGAAACCAGTTGCAAAGCAGACCTGTGACCTCCATCCCTGCCCAACCGAACCACCAGGTTAGCTGGGATGCCTGGCAGACAAGGGGGAGGGGGAGAGCTTAAATGCCGTGAGAGAGCCATGCCCGGTGATGTTAGAGCCCCAGTGCTGGGAAGCCCCATGTCTGTCTTTCCTGGTCCTCACGCTGATCTGACTGCACCACAACCTTCCATGAGTCTCTCCTTTCCAGAAGAGGATCCAGAAGTCTGGCTGGCCCCCTCCAGAAGGCCTTCCTGGAAATTTGTGGTGGAGAGGGATTTCTGAGGGGCCAAGTCGCCTGAGGGGGAGGGAGGGCACCCTCCTTTCTCCCTGAGGAGAGAGCAGCTGAAAGGAGGCAGACAGCCAGGAGCAAAAGCAGACTAAAGCTGACCTCAACTGGAGGAAGCGGGGACACCCAGCTCCTCCGTGGAACTTGGAATTCTTTGGGCAACCTCAGTAGGAGGGTTGCTAAGAGCTTTTCTTTTTCAGGAAGAAAATGCACCTTCCCCTCAAGGAATGTTATTTTAGCGGAAATATTTTGTTTGCATCATTTTGTCAGTGTGGGTGCAAATCAAAGGTTCAGGAAAGCCTCCAGTTCTTTGCCCCATCCCACCCTTCAAGCAATGTGGTGGGGTTGATTCTGTGTGGGTGATTAAGGTTGATGCGGCTGCACTTGGGCAGACAGGGTGGAGGCTGGCTCTGGGGCAGGACTGGGGCTCGGCGCGGCTCTCCCTCTTGCCTTGGATGACCTCCCTGATCTTGTGGTCCTCCCACAGATGACAGTTGCCAGGACCAGGTGGGGACCAACTGTGCTCTAGCAATTAAGGTGAACCTCTGGGGCCACTGGTACTACAGCAAGGCCTGCTGTCGATCCTGCCGAGTGCCCCGTTCCTAGGGGGCGTAATGGCGTGGGGGTCCCGTGCCCGAGGAGCAACTGGAGCTCAGCACCATTAGGTATCACCTCGTGGTCCTCGCTTCTCATCTTCCTCCAGCCGCGATGGGTTGGACCACCAACATCGCCTGCAGAATTCTGGATTTTTCTTTTAATTCATTTAGCAAATTCTTGATCTACCTATACATGACTCCCCTCCTGCCAGTGATTTTGTCCTCCCCACTGTTCCTCGCACTTGCCTCCTCTGCTTGCCAGTTCAAATCTTGCCTCCTCTGCTCAGTTCAAAGCTTGCCAGAATGGCTGAGGGAGGGGCAAAACTCTCGCTTTCCTGTTAATGATCACATCGCTCATTGCAGGACTGGGCCTAAATCAGAATGCCCCCCCCCCCACAGCCTTGGCTCTTTCCTTCTGCCTCTCTCCATTAAAAGTCTCATTGTCCCCTCAAGGCAGAGAGATACCCCAAATAAAAGGTATGCTGAACCCTTCTCTCCAGCTGCAGTTAATAATTGCCACAGGTATTACAATGAAGAATATTTGAGGAGGAGACACATCCATTTTACACTTTATTGAAATAAATGAAAATTGGTGGGAATGAAGTCTGCATCAGTTTTAAATACCAAAATGACAATAAAATCATTAAAGGCAGAAAAACCCTATCATTTCAAGCTTAGGCACTGTATGTTTATTCTCACTCAGCAGTAAATATAAATTAACAAAGGACAGGTAATAAAGTCTACTAAATATAACATGTAAGTGCACATCTGGCAGAAGTGTTTTATCTCATAATCAAACTCTTAAATACATAATGCCAGCATATTGTATAGGATAATGAAAACATAACTGCACTTTATAACCCAAAAGGGCCCTGGGCTCTTTTTTAATGTATTTGTTTACAAAATAATAAACTTTATCCCTTTTACTGTTGAATGGTACTTGTAAGTGTCTGTTAAATAAGTTTTCTGATATTTATGGTGACAGCTCAATCCTTGTTAAGTTTTTTCCATTTGTTTTGGCAAATGGGAACTATTCTCTGACTTTATTTGACAGCACAGTATCAGCAGTAGAGTCCTTCAAGTTTTTGGGTTCTATAATCTCCCAGGACTTGAAATGGACACCTAAAATTAGAACCATCATTAAAAAGGCACAACAAAGAATGTTCTTCCTGCATCAGCTCAGATACACATTTACAGAGGAATTATCACTTGTACTTCTATAAGTGTCTGGTTTGGTACAGCAACCAAACAGGACAGGCACAGACTCCAATGGATAGTTAGGACTGCAGAAAAAAACAATTGCAACCAGCTTGCCTCCCATAGAAGACTTGTATATGTCAGAAGAAGGGCTGAGAAAATATTTACAGATTCCTCACATACTGGACAGAAACTGGTTTAACTCCTCCTCTTGGGATGGTGCTATAGGGCATTGCATGCCAAAACAACTAGACACAGTTTTTTTCTTTCATGACATTATTCTGCTGAACATCTAATTCTCAGTACTGTCTAATGTCCATGTAGAAGTATTACTATTCTTATTATTGAAGGAGAACTCATCAAATTTCCAGATGACCCCAAGCTGTCAGGAGTAGCCAAACACCCCAGAGGACAAACTCAGCATGCAAAAAGATGGGCATTTCTCCACATTGAAATGAATTTCAATGTGGAGAAAAGCAAAGTCTTACACTTAGGCAGGAAAAATCAAAGGCACGAATACAGATTGGGCGAGACCTGGCTCAAAAATAGCAACTGTGAGGGGGATCTTGGACTCCTGGTGGATGATCACTTGATTATGAGCCAGCAATGTACAGCAGCAACCAAAAAAGCTAATACAATCCTGGGTTGTATAACAGAGGCATAGAATCAAGATCATGCAAAGTACTAGTACCGCTTTGGAAAGCCCCAGTAAGACCACAACTGGAATACTGCAGCCAATTTTGGTCACCGTATCACAAAAAAGATGTTGAAGTTTTGAAAAAATTCAGAGAATGGCAACTATGCCACAAAGAAGAGGGGGTCAAGTTGTTCACTAGAGCACTAGAGGGAAAGACGAGAAACAATGGCTGGAGACTGATCAAGGAGAGAAGCAACCTGGAATTAAGGAGAAACTTCCTGACAGTCAACCAGTGGAACAGCTGACCACCAGAAATCGTGGGTGCTCCATCATTGGAGATCTTTAAGAAAAGACTAGACAATCACCTGTCCGAGATGGTGTAGGTTCTCCTGCTTGAGCAGGGGGCTGGATTAGATGACCTCCGGGGTCCCTTCCAGCTCTATTTCTATCTTCTTTACCACCCCCTCTTATTGGTATCATTAAGATTATTATTATTCTGTTTTGCATGCACACTGAAAGCTTCTGCACCGGAGACAAATTCCTTGTGTGTATAATCACACTTGGTCAAATAGAGTGTCAGAATCCAATTATATTTCATCTTTAATCATCAAATATAGAAAACCCCAATTCTGCCTTCTCTGGCTTCTGCCATAAGAGGGAGAGAAGGGGGAGAACAAAGGGGCTTTATGGCCCTCACTTCCTTCAGTATACTTCTAAGGAATTGAATGTGTTTATTGCAACCTCAAATAGTTTGAATGTAAATAGCACCAAAGAACCTTACCATAACAAAGGGGGCTATTTACCTTTCATGTAGTTTATCTGAAGTCTCCATCCAGAAGGAATAAAGGGGTGGAATTGTGATGCCTGAAACTATCACTGGAAGGGGGGGTGATTGGGTGGGACTGCTGGGGAACCCCTTAAAACCTTGAATGGGAGAGCTTGGACCCCAAGTCCTGTCTAGCATGCCTGCAACCACTTCTTCTTAATAAAGGATTCCTGTTGGAAGAATTATTCCAAGAGTTCTGTCTTCTTAAGATGCAAAGTGGGGTGGGTCCTTACATAGAGTATTCAATTCAATTCAAAAGGAAACCATCCTGAGAAGGTGCCACAGAAAGGGGCTCCACACTGGGCAGGCTGTGGCATCTCAAGGCCACGTTCCAAAGGAGGGCCAGGCTGGGTGGGAGAGACAGGAATTTTAAGAGGAGAAATTGGTGCCCCCATTCCTTAAATCCCCAGCTTTAAAAATCCCGCTTTTGCCCCCTTCGTGTTTGTGGGCCATAAAAAGGACAGAGCACCCGCTTTTTCTTAAAGGTGTTAAAAATTTTTCTTAAATACCATGAAAGAAACACTCCTTTTGGTAACAAGTCAGGTAAGTTTTTTTTTTTATTTTCGTAATCCAGAAGTCCTATACATGTTTATCACAAGTAAAGGTAAATGAAAATTCATGAAATAGTTTGAATTTATTTCAAATATATATAAAGGGGAAAATAAATAGCATACTTAAAAGCAACAAATTGTAGCATTTTTAAGAGTGCCACTGAAACCAATACAAATTTTAAGAATTATACAAAATAGTTTTGTGGAAGCAGCAACTAGTACAGATCACTGAAGACCAACATGAATGCATTTTATTGGATGCAGCCAGAGCAAGACATGAAAATTAATCTCCAATTAGATGGAAGAAGTCCACCTGGATCCCATTTCATGGGACAGGCTGAGCCATGATGCTACTGGCTCGTCTCTGCTCCTTTGCCTCCTGGGCTCTCATGCCCTGTGCCCGCTCCAGAGGAGTTTGAATAGGTTGAACCCAAACTTGCCACAGGTCTGTTTTCCCTTCATCCCCAGTACGTGACTTGGGAATGCCAGTTTTACAAGCTGCCTGAACACACTGTCAGATCCTACAGGGGAATCATTTTCCTTTGGGCACCATGGGTGGTCTCCATCCCTCTGCTGCCTCCAGATCCAAAAGCCTGGGGGAGCAGTGGGGTGGACTAGCCTCCTCCATCTCTGAAGGCCGTCCAACCTGCTGTCTTTTAAGTCTGTCTCCCAGCTGATATCCCATCTAGCCAGACTTTCCAATTTTGAGGAAGCTGCCTTCCCTAATAGGTCACCATTATGAACGTCGCTCCACTAAATTTTAATTCTGAGAGCTCCAAGCTGCAGCCTGTCTGTCCCAAAGAAAAGGAACGCCTCTGGGCCCGCAGGAGCCTACCCTCCCCATGCATCTGCCTCCTGGACACTCGGGGGGGAAGCTGGAATAGAAGAAAGCACAAGAGGCCTGGGGCCCAGAGCACTGCAGTCGTCTTCAGTTTGGTTGGCAAAAACACTGATGCTTTTGGTTGCAGGTGAGATAAAGGAAGTCCTGCAGCAGGCAACGTCATGTTCAAAAATGGGAAAGTCCTCCCCCCCCCTCACAGATGCCACCCAAACACTTTCATGGTCCTCAGTTGAGCAACAAAAAGTAGGCTAGGACCAGCACGGCAGAGGCAAGCAAGAATCAAACTAAAGCTGAGCTCATCTCAGCTGAACCTAGTGGACAGCAGTCCTTGCCACATTTCTGGTACGTTTCTTCTGTCATATTAAAAAATACCTCTTCGACAGCAAGCGGGGAAAGGAAGGCCTCGGGGTGGATT